CTTGTAAATTTGTGGTAATATGTTGTTCAAGTAAAGGGAAAGATACTTGCCTTACAGAAGTACATTCCAATCAATGAAGAAGTAATTAGCTTATTTTAATTGTGATGCTTCTGACACAACTTTCTTATCAACAATTGCTAAGTCTGGGGTGTGAGACGGCAAGTACTTGTTTGGTTAAATTCTAAAGTCCCAAAGCACATTATTTAAGACCAATCAACTATTCCAGCTATACATCTAATGACTGAAATTGGCCAGTTGTTATTTGCCTTAATGGTATTTCTATCACCAGTTTGGACTTTAAGATCTTCTTTATCTCATAATGTATTCATTTCTAAACTTTCTCTTGACTTCTGGTTGCTTGATGTTGCCACTCTGAAGGTATCTCCAGTAATTTTCTTCATTTTTATTCCTTCAGCTTTCACCATTTTTCTCCTGTTGATTGTAAGGATAAGGATGACACATTTGTGAAGTCCAAACTCTACTGCAGAATCTTGGCACTATATATGGACAGTGTTGAGCAGCAATTCTGCTTCAGGTGGTGCTTTTCAATACAATTACAAATCATCCATGTAAAGGAGGCAGGAGAACCTGGCAGTTGTTTCTAATGCTTGATAGTCATGGCCTGCCTTGTTCAGGATTGTTGATAGAAGAATCAATACATTGACAAACAGTAGTGGTTATAATGAGTCTTCTTAAAATATTCCTTTCTTTGATATTAACCTCCCCAGTCTATTAGCCAGCAACTGTGTCTTCTATTGTGCCACTGATCTTTGCACAAAGCTTCTTCTATCAATTGTCTATTCGGTGATCCCCCAAGTTCTTGCTTGCTGGCAAATAATAGATCTTATAGATCTTCCCATGCAACATTGTTGCTATTTTGTCTTGCCATTGTTTGTAATCAGTATATGCCATCTTCTTACAGCAGCTATTTCTTCACCTTCTTTGCAAAGATGGCATTTTCTGCCTGTTGCTATCTTCCCAATTCTCGCATTGTATGCATTTGTCCTTAAGACTTGGTCTTGATTAGCTTCTCTGTCTCTTTCTTCAATTTTCTTGCACCTAACCATTGCCAAGTCTTGGGAAGAGCCATGGTGACACAGTGGTTAGAATGCAATATTGCAAGCTCGCTCTGCCCACTGCCAGCAATCCTGATGAGCTCAAGGTTGACTCAGCCTTCCATCCTTCTGAGGTCGGTAAAATGAAGATCCAGAATGTTGGGGGCAATATGCTGACTGTGTAAACCATTTAGAGAGGGTTGTAAAAGCACTGTGAAGCAGAATATAAGTCTAAGTGCTATTGCTGTTGTTGAAGATAACAACAGCAAATTGTTGTTATCTATTTTATCTATTTTCCCTGCTAATTTTTTAAAATATACTTAATATTTTAATACCTTGCCTTGCTATGTCTGGTTTTATTCTTCATTTGTTTTTTCTTGTAGGCTAATTTGGTCTGTCCAGTTCTCAATAACGCTTCCTGGTATACTAGCTTCAGTGCATCTTTTTCACTGTCCTTCAGAAATTCTTCCAATGCCCTTTCTTCTTTTTCAGCTGTCTGGTGTATTTGTAATGTCCACCTATTTTCCTTGGTAAATAGTCCACCAACTTCACTGCGTAGATGAAGGGCATGATTCTTTGTCATTATTTTTCTGGTCTATTATTTTATACACATAAATGTGAAATCACAACTGTTAGTTATTTAGTTGGTATTGGCCTTTATATATCTCAAGTTCTTTCCAAGAACCTGGGATATTGTAATGTGTCAGTGCAATGTAAGTGCAGATCTAAGCAGAATGGTCTTTTGTAATTGACAGATGGAAATTTTGTCCATTACAGATTTTCTGCTAAGTGCAGTCCAAGATTTGTTGGCCATTCATTTGTTCATTCATTCATTGAATTTCTATAGCCACCCAACTCAGCCAAATGACTCTGGGTGGCTTACAATTCTAAAATTATAAAACAATTAAAACAAATTTAAAAACATTAAAACAATAAAACATCGACAAAATAAATAAGTATAAATAGTAACTATGATGATTAATCAATTAATAGTAAAGCCATGCACACATTTTGAGCTCCATGTCTGGGGACATAGCCAAGTTTTTAAAGCTTTGCAAAAAGCCACCAAGGGTTGGGGCCATTGTAATCTTCAAGGGAAAAATATACCATAAAGCAGGGACTATAGCAGAAAAGGGGCATTTTCTAATTCCCACCTATCAACATTGTTTAAGCTCTGCAGCATGCCGAATCAGATTGGATGGGTAGAAACTGAAAAAAGATGGTCCTTCAGATACAGTAACCTGATCCCAAGCCATGTGAGGCTTTAAAGGTGACAACCAGAACTTGAATTTCACCTAGAAAAGCGCCAGCAGCCAGTGCGGCCCAGAGTAGGGGTGTTAATTTATTATTATTTATTTATTATCCATGCAGCCTCATTTTGTACCATGAATACTCTTCAAGTTCAGCCCTATGTATACTGTGTTATAGTAATCTAAGAGGGAGCTAACAAGGGCATAGGTGACAGTGAGCAGGGTCTCCTGCTGGCACATTACCTGAAGATATGTATAGGCTCTCCTAACCATAGTTGCTGCTTGCTTCTCAGGCAGGAGCTATGAATCTAGGAAGACCTCAAGATTGTGCGGCCAGTCTTCTGGGGTAATGCCATCCCATCCAGAACTAAAGGTGGAAGAATTTTGTCTCCAGAAGATCCAAATATCCACAGCCACTCTGTTTTGCGATGGTTGGATCAGAGTCTGTTTTGCCTGTCCAAACCTGAACATCCTCCAGACATTGGAATAAGATGTCCACAGCATCACTCAAGGGGCCTGGTTCAGAGATATAAAGCTGGGTGTCATCTGCGTACTGATGATATCTTACCCCAAATCAAAGAAACACCTCACCAGTTGTCAACTCATAAAATATTTCTATGGTTGTTTTAGAGTTGTCAAGAGAAAGAGAGTGGGGGAAAGGGGTTTGAAAGAGCAGTGTGGCAGCTTGGAAATTGAAAGTGCATTCCATACATAGTTTTTCAGAGATAGTAACTAGGTGACTGAAGTTTCTGCTGCGCAAAAATCTAACTGAAGAACATGACTGATGACTCTTGGTTATGTATGTTTCTGGAGAATATGAGTTATGATACACCCAGGGGGTGGGGGGAAAACCAGGGTCAAGGGTGACAATGAATTACGCATCTCAGAGTCGGCTACACCCAGGCAGTGCTGGACATGTTAACTCCCAATAAGTCCTTTGAAGTTTTGGAAGTTTGGCTCGAGACTCATGATTTAATTAATTTAATTGGGATGTAGATCTTAAATAGGAGAGGAGAGAAAATTGAGCCCTGAGGCATTGCACAAAGTAGGGGCCACAGGCTAGATCTCTTTCCTTTTATCAACTCTGACTGCAACTGGCCTCAGTGGAAGGAGAAGAACCAGCATGATAGTGTCACTCACCTCCAACTCCCAGAATTGGCCCAAAAGAATACCACGAATCGATGATATTGAATGCCACTGACAGATTAAGAAGAGCTAGGAAGGATGCACTACCTCTATCCCACTAGCGGTCATCCAAGAACAATGCCGTCTCAATCCCAAATCCAGGCCTGAACCTCAACTGAACAAAGTCTAGATAATCCATCCAAAATCTTCTGCTGCTGCCATGCAGCCACTCTCTTCACAATCTCCCCTTCTTGGGAAACTGGGTGAAAACTGTCCAGCTTGGTTGGGTTAAACATTGGTCTTTTGAGGAGGGGGTATATCATTGCCTCTTTAAGATATGGTGGGATCACTCCTCTTTTCAAGGAGTTAACTACCACCCTGACCCAGTCCTACATGAATGAATGAACAAATGAGTTATTTATTGGCCAAGTATGATTGTTTTGATGCATATGCTCTCAGTGTACATACAAAGAAAAGATATATCTCCTCCTGTGCAGTTTTAATAAGCTAGGAAGGGCATAGACTTAATACACAAGTGGTCAAATTGAGAGGACCTTGTCCATATCATTAAGTTCAACAGGCTCAAACTCTTCCCAGATCACCTTGCAAGATGGTATGGAACCCAATGTGCCAATAAGCACTGGGACCAGCACAGTCAGTTTATGTCATGATTTGTCCATTTCAATCTTTAGATCTTGATGCTAAATATCTAATTATTTTATCCCATCTTTTAAATATGTAACTCAAAGCAGTTAGTATACCTAATACTCATGTCTCCTATTTTCCAACAACCCTGTGAGGTGGGTTGGGCTATCTCTTGGGTTGAAGAAAAGATAAGATTTTGAACTTTTTAATGTTGAAATATATCTGAATGACTGGCTTGTAGAATGAATGAGCTATTAATTAGGAAGTTCTGAGTCAAATGTAGGCCATAAACCAGCGATTAAATAGACAGTTTTCAATTTTACTTTAGCCTGAAGTACTAAATGATTAGGACTGTAGCCTGAGCAACTAAGGAGTATTGTCAACAGGTCTTTCAATCCTTAGGGCAGAATTGTGTATTAAAATCAGGCACCGGTTCTATTATTCATATAATTGAGTAATAGAACATTTTAAAATACTGATAACGGCTTTATTTTTTGCGACACCATTCTGCCCTATTTTATATTGCAATTGTATTTTGTCGTCATTATTAGCAACAGTCAATATCAGTGCAACTTCGGTCAGCCGCACGCTTCCAGAGGCAATTGACTAAAAGAACGTGGACTTTTTCGTGCATACATCTAGGAACAGCTTTGGATATTAATATTTTGCAAGAGAAAAAAATGCAAAACCACCGTCATGATAGTTGTCCGCGAAATTTTGATGAAATGCTTCAAGACCCTTTCCCATTTTCCTAATCGAGAGGAGTGGGGAGGGAGCCACTGAAACCGGAAGTTCTGTCAATGTATCACTCTACACTTCCATCTCCGCATATATCTATTTATTTTCACAAAGGCAGGTGCGACACGCCCACCGAGCGCAGAATCCGGCGAAGACGCCCCTGATGTTTATTTTCGGGGCCGGAAGTGGAAATAGGATGGGCGAGTGCTTGCCCGCCTCCAGGAAGTTTCCATTCCCCCGCTTGTTTGGGCCGTGTCCGCCAAGAGTTGTTTCGAAGCGGGCGCGAGGCGCCAAGATGCCAGTGGCGGTGATGACGGCGACGAGCGGCGCCTTCAGTTACCGAAAGCTGCTGGAGCAGTGTGAGACTCAGGAGCTGGAGGTAAAGTGGGCAGGGGTGGCAACCATGGAAACGGGGCGCGAGGGAGGGGAAGCAGCAACGCTGGGCGCGCGTTCTTCCCGCCCAGCCCTCTTGTCTCAACTTCTTCCATGCGGTCTCTCGGCTGGGAGGAGGCAGGTCTTTGGGAAGCCCAAAGATCTGAGTTGCTTGGTTGATTAGTTGATGCCTTGGCTGCACTATAGCAAACGGAAAACGCTCTGGGGCATTGAAAATGTCGAAGAGAAAAGTTCAGTTCTGTCGTTGTGATTTCACACTTGAGAGAGCCTTGGAAATTGCTAAATTTGGAGAAAGCAGTAGATTTTTTTTCAGAAGTATTGCAGAATCAGGATGCCATACAAACAACCCTTTGCATTTTATCTTTGTGTTTCTATTGATATTGTTCCAATTTCTTAATTGGTTGTTGTGAGCTGCCCAGGGTTGTTGAGAATCAAGTGGCATATACATCTTGTATAACATCTACATTAAAATTAGACCTGCCCTCGGTTAAATGCTCAGAATTTTGCAGTCTGTTTCTTCCTTCATTAAACACAGCGGGCTTTATAATACATAGGTGCAGGTAATCCTCGAGTTATAACCATTTGTTTAGAATTAAGACAAGGGACTTAAGTCTGCAAAGATGCGGTCACAGCATCCCTGCGATCATATCACCATTTGCAAATTTCTTTGCCAGCTTCCCATTAGTCAAGTCATTGGGGAAGCCTCCAGGGAAAGTTACAAGTCAATCCTGAAATCACTTCTGCCACTTTTTCTCCCAAGGAGCCCTGCTACAGAGGATGGATCCCAAGGACCTCACTCTCCATGGCAGCTCATATTCATCTTTACCACTCCCCTGCTCATCCAGGGCTCCTGCTGGTCTACCTGCACTTCCATTTGGCTGGATGGCTCACATTTCCCAACATTAACCCCTGACCCCTCATACCTGCATGGGCATGCACACACACGTGCACACCCCTTACCTGGGACTTTTGCCCCTTCCTGCTTAATAACCCATACGCTCCTGGGGTTATAATAGCAACCAGAATTGCCTTTACTAATAGATGTGTTTATGTCATATATTACAAATGGTGATCCTGGTCCCAATTGCCATAAAATGTGGTCTACCTGTGTGAACTGCATTAAAAAGGACAACTTTAGTTATTGTAAATACTACAAATAGTAACTAGTTCAGGGCTGTTAAATTCATGGCTTGCAGGCCAGATGTGTCTTGCCCGTTTTAGCGAAGGAGGAAAAAGTTGTGATGTGCCATGTGACATTGCAAGTTTGACACCCCTGACATAGTTACTACAACCAAAATAGTTCTACAAATTTTATTTTAAATACTAGGCCAGGTCAAAACAGGTCAGCTTAATTCTGTTGGAATTTTGTTTGAAATAAGGACTCCAAACTGCTATTTGTATTATAATTGTCCACTAGTAAAAATTGTAATCTATCTCTTAATGCCTCAGTAATTTTAATCCTGCAGGTAGTCCTCGATTTACAACAGGTTTTGCGACCCAACAAGCAAATGGAGAATCCAGATTCACTTAACAGTCATGTTACTAACTTAACAAATGCAATGATTCTCTTAACTGTGGCAAGAAAAATAATAAAATGTGGCAAACTTACTTAACAAATGTTTCACTTAGCAACATAAATTTTGGGCTCAATTGTGGTAGTAACTCAAGGACTACCTATATTTTATTAGCTCCCTGAAATCTTTGCCTTTCATTAGCTGAGGCAAATAATGAATAACCACTTTCTCATAAATGTACATGCTTTGCTCTCCTTTGCCAGATTGAAGTCTGTTTATTTCAACACTCCCTCAATAACGTTATTTTAATTTTCTTTGTCAACCTTTGTTAATTAGAATAATTAGACAATTATAAATGCTTGTAAAAGGCATGGGTAGGTCCTAAAGCAGGGGTGTCAAACTTGATTTCATTGAGGGCCGCATCAGTGTTGTGTTTGACCTCAGGGGGCTGGGCTGGGCATGGCCAGATGGCCAGTTTAATGTCACTCATGTCAGGGGTGTCTGGTGGCCAGCGAAAGCCCTCCCGAGCTCTGTTTTTGCTCGCAGAGACACCACAGGCCAGTCTAAGCACCCTGTAGGCCTGATCCAGCCTATGGGCCTTGAGTTTTAACACCCCTGTCCTAATGCAAATTGGTTGTTCTCCAAACTGAGTTTGAGAGTAGGATGAAGTAATGTCATGTCTGAATGAAATAAAACCTTATTTAGGATGTATTTTGACCAGAGAGTTAAGAATATTGAATATTGTTTTCTTAGTGTACAGAGGTGGAAATGGGCTGTATCGTGCACTTTGGGGAAAGCACCTGATTGCCCAGATCTTCTTTTCAGAGGGAAGGAATTGGGTTTTATCTGTGTTCTTTGTTCTCAGCTATGTACTGCTTTGTATAGGACACAATCTAATTTTATGCTGATTTTTTTAAGGCCCCTGGAGGAATAACAACATCCCCTGTTTATGCTCAACTCTTGGCTTTGTATCTTCTGCATAATGATATGTAAGTAATAGTTTTAATAATAGGTCTGGACTTGTTAGACATCTATAAGCATATTGACGCAATTCAGATGTTTTTAGAATTAGATGAATTTACATTAATTGGCAAAAAACGTACTTAGCATTCCAAATCAACAAGTTGTAAAAGCAAAAGCATGTGATGTAGTGTAGGTGAAGTATGCTGTACTTTTATTGATTTTTAGTACCCCGAACCTTTGCTATTTAACATAGGTATGATTTTGAATTTGCTCATACTATTTTTATTGAAAACAAAATACTTGTTTTGTTTATTTGTGTCAGAAGCATCACAATTTAAGTAAGCAAATTACTTCATAGATTGGAATATATTTCTGTAAGGCGAGTATCTTTCCCTTCACTTGAACAACATAACCACAAATTTACAAGTAAATAATTACTTGATTAACTCAGTTTTTTGGCAACTATTGGGAAGCTTTTTGTTGTTGCTATTTTGGAGTTCTTAGATGACAGTATTACAGTATCACATATAAGACAATACAATATAATTTGAATATGCACATCAAACCCATTCATAATAAAAATGTAATGCACAAGATAAATACGTAAACCTATGTGTTGGAGAATGGAAATATGTAGCTGAAACCCTAGGGTTAATAGAAAAACAGACATCATAAATTATGGTTGTAGAACATCTTGCCTGTTGAAGTACTGAATGCTTCATTGCTGGAGATTTTCAAGATTGATTTTTTGTCTGGGATAGTCTGAAGATTTTAACATTCGGCAGCGGGTTGGATTAGAAGACTTCCAAAATTGCTTCTCAGCCTACGTTCTACATGATAGATATAAACAAACAGTATGAAATCTGAATTCTTTAGCCTTTGAAATGTATGTGCACTGTATATTGATATATTCTCAGAAAGATGTACCCGGAAACCTCTAGTAAAAAAACATTACATAGATTTTGTTTAAAAATGTCCTTATCACTGGTTTATTTTTATTAGGAATAATGCCCGTTATCTCTGGAAAAGAATCCCTTCTGCTATTAAGTCTGTAAGTATTTTTTCAATGCTATCAAAACTAAAACAGTATTGTCAGAACCATGTTCCCCCAAACTACATTTTTATTATTTAAAAATGTATGTTGAATACAAAGTTTTGCTCCTACTGATCTTAATATTTGGGAACACTATTGTTTTTGCATTTTTATTCAAATGTTTATAATGTGTTTTTAAGAATTGTAGGTCTCTAGTCTGAATACTGAACTATACTTTCTAAAAATGGAGGGGAAGATTGTTGAGAAGGTGGTGGGTCTGCAGCTGAGAAGAATTATGGAAGAAGCAAATTATCTTAACTAGTGTTTCTCAATCTTGATAAATTTAAGATGCGAGAACTTCCAGTTCCCAGAATTTTCCCAAATATACTCTGGTTCAGATCATATAAATCTTTTGCCTTTTACTAAAGATAAATAAACTTCCAGAATTTTCCCAGCAAGTGTTCAGTTCTGAAAGTTGAAATTTTACAGTTGCCAAGGTTGAGAAACACTGTTCCAGACATATTCCAGTCTGTTTTCAGGCCAGTGCTGAGACAGTTTTGGTTGCACTTGTGATAGAATTGGGATGGGAATGGTGCATCCATCTTTGTATTCTGTTGAGGTAATTCCCCGTTAGGAGACTTATTGAGAGAAGTGTTGAATAATACACACACAGCACACAGATACACTGTACAGTAAATGTAGGTTTTTACTTCCCATAAAGGTTTAAGCAAAGTTCAAGATAAGCAGTCCAAAACCATTCACAGGTAAAATCAGTCAGTTTTCAGTCTAGGGATAATCCAATAACAAAGTCCAGTATCAAAAAAAAAGGGCAGTAACAGACTTACGTCAAATCCAAGAATATCAGTCAATTAGAAGGAACGGCAATATTCTCCAACAGAAGGAAAAAGAGACTTACTGAGACTTCTTCTGAGACTAAAGACTAAACAACCCAGGTTTCTGGCTCCATCTTATGGCTGTTTGAAAAACCACACCCAATTACACTTTTAGGATTCTCTTAAAGAGACAGTATTAAAATGTCTATCCTGGTTTATATCCTAACATATTCCTTCCTCTGTTTTTTGATACTGTCAACCAAGGTGGCATCTTAAGCCAATTCTGTGGGTCAGAGCTGGTTCTAATAGATGTTGGCAAACCCTCCTTTATGGGGTGCTGCAGGATTCTATTCTCTCCCTTTTCAACATCTACATCAGGGGTGTCCAACCTTTCACCTTCCCTGGGCCACATTAGAAGATGAAAATTTGGTTTGGGCCGCACATAAAATAAAATAACAGTAATGATACCTGATCATCCAAAAAAACCATAGAAAACATAGTTAACATATTAAATTTATTTGGAAATGAAGTTAGTGAGATGTTTTTATTATTTATTATTAATTATTTATTAAAAATTATTTTTTATCATGGTTTTTTTATCACAGTTTATCACGGTTTATTTTCCGGCCAAATTTTGCGGGGGGGGGGGAAGAAAGCTCACCCGTCTCGCGCCTACCTCTCCTGCAAATGGCCTGTCTGGATGCGGCGGGGGCAGAAGCAGCAGCGGTGGCGGGGGCAGAAGCAGCAGCGGTGGCGGCAGAAACAGCAGCGACGGCGGGGGCAGAAGCAGCAGCAGGGGCAGAAGCGGCGGCGGTGGCGGGGGCAGTGGCGGGGGCAGAAGCAGCAGTGGCGGAGGTGGGGGCAGAAGCTGCAGCGACGGCGGTGGCAGCAGCAGGAAGTGGCGCTCTGATGGCGCCCGCCTTTTCTTTTGCTGCTTGGCGTGGTGCTCACCTCGCCCCGCCTCATGCCTGCCTCTCTTCCTCCTCCTCGCTGGCTCTGGCACGAAGGTTGGGGTGGGCACTGGGCTGCATTACGAGGCGACCTGGGCCGCATGCGGCCCACGGGTTGGACAAGCCTGATCTACATGAAACCACGGGGTGAGGTCATCTGCTGGTTTAGGGTTCAGCATACAGATGATACTCAACTATATATTTTGATTGTCGATAGGCCAAGTACCTGGAGGCTATGTGAGTTTGAATGGGGAGCAACTGTCTCTAACTCAATACTACCAAGACGAAATGGCTGTGGATGTTTGGCATGCTAAGATTGGGAATATTCAATCTCTGATCTTTGATGGAGTGTCATTTATTGACTCAAGGGTTTTGTGCAATCTGAGTCTTCTGGGACTCACAGTCCAGGAAGTGTCAGCTATGGCCAAGAAGATCTTTGCACAGGAGCACCAGTTATGTTCTTTCCCAGATGGGAGGATTCACCCCCTTAAGTACACTTCCCTCCTTTGGGGTGAATCCTCTGATGAATCCTCCTTTGGGGTGGATCCTTTGGGAGAATCCTCTGGGAAGCTTGGTGCTAAGGGTCTGTAGGATGATTCCCCTTCTCTTCTGTTTGGATTGGAAGGTTTGCTTCTGCTCAAGGGGCAAAGTTCCCTTTTTAAAACTACCAGGAGCGGGAGGAAGCTGTCCGGCCAGTCTGTATTCTTAGGGAACTGAAGGAAGGAATGAGAGTAAAGAAAACTTAAAAGGCGGGGGGGAAGTGCACAGGGGGGTTGGGCAGCTGGAGCAAGAGGAGAGCGCCCGATCGTACAAGGGACGAGACCATGACTCGAAGCTCTGGGGCGGGAAGCAAAGCAAGGCATGGAGGGGGGTAGAGAAACGATTGCATCACCCTCCCTCTGCCACTTCCACCTACCCAACCCCAAAAGCCACACCGACTTGCAAGACCTTGTTGACGCAGCTGCCGTCAATCAAAGTGATGCCCCTGCAGGAGAGCAGGCGATTCTCGTCGGCAGCAGGGTTTCTCTCACCGCTGTTCCTGTTGGAGATGGCGCTGGTGAGAGAGGCGCCCGCCCCGGCGAGAACCGTGGAAACTATGGCTTCCCCGCCCGAGAAGCAGCTGAAACACTGCCAGTGGAGGAGTGTGCAACACTCCAAACGCGGCAGCGCACCGTCAGAAGGAAAAGCAACAGCAGCAGAGGAAGCAACAGCGGCAGGCATGATGCAAAGTGCCCCACCACCACTGAAGCCGACATCCACACCACCGCTGCCCACCCGCTGACCTGGCCTGCACCCAGCACCATACCCGGGTTTGCAGCAAAGGCGTTTGGCGGGGGTAGGGAGCTCTCCATGCTCCGCCATGATCGGCCATTAGCAGCAGCTGGTGGCGAGGCATGGCTGCCCATGGGGTGCTCTAGGCGAGGGTGGGGGAGGAGAAATTGTCACCCCCGAAAAGACGGCCTAGCTGTTTTTTCGGGGTCACAAAAAAATAAGGCCCGGCCTTATTTTCTGAGAAACATGATAATATGCCTTAAACACCGTTCTCAAATTAAAACTGAGTTTAAATCCTAGATATGGCAACAGGCCTGGAGAGGAGGTGTCAAAATATTCTGTATAACTGTAAGCATATTTGTTTTGTTTTCTTTTGCCAAATAGCTGCAGCTTTATTCTCAATTCTTTCTTTGCAGGCAAATCTTGAACTTGGTGCAATTTGGGCAGTAGGGCAGCGTATCTGGCAAAGAGATTTCCCTGGAATATATACAACAATTGATGCATATCAGTGGTCTGAATCTATTCAGCCAATTATGGAAGCACTTAAAGGTATACATTTCTTAGTTAAAATTGTGCATATTATTAACCATAAAAAGAAATAAAAGCAATGGCCTGCACCATGCCTCCTTCCCTATTACCTTTTAAGGGCTTTGCCTTCAGGAATTAGTCAAACCAGCTAATGAAAAGAGGCTGACTGATGTAGGAAATGGGTTATAGAAAGGAGAGGAAAGATGGGTGGAGTGAAGAAAGAAGAATTACATGCACAGTTTAAGAAGGAGTAATCTGCTAATAGCTAGGTTATGGTTTCAGTATATGCTTCTGGGTAGATGTATACTGTAATACAGTTGCTTTTGTTGAGATGAGCAACATATAAGTTTAATAAAGAATTAGCAGTAATAATAGGTTTTCCTCCAATGTTGTTATATTGGTAGCCTTGAGCTGGATGATTTCCTGGGAAGATGGTTATTGTCAGGTTAAGGATTGCGGAATGAAATGTGGAAAAAGTACACCCAAAGTTGCATCAAGAACAAGTATTGTTTCTGAATTAATTTTTATTCATGTTTTCTACTCTGCTAAGAACAAACTACCTTTAACAGAGAATTTCCACTCAGGTATATATTGGTTAATGCAAGCTGAGGTTTGTGCAGAAAGTTCAACTTGTACTTTGGCAAAGTAAATGTATGCAGCATTGGATTGAACATTTGATAGATAATTTACATTTGAGCTATACTTTACCTGTTTTCAACAAGCCAACTAAAACTTGTCTACCATGAATACCATGATATCACTTATTCTATTCAGTTTTGGAGCCATGTTTAACAGATTTTCACCTTCATTGATAAATATATCTTGACAGGCTTCCCCATTTGCAAAACCCTGATAACCAATTCCCAGGAGAAAGGTTGCCATTTTCAGCTGTGATTGCTGTCACTGCTACTTAATTTGAGATAATATATGACATAAGAAATGTGAGGTTTGGTTAAGATTGACATGCTTTATAAATTGGAATTCAGTATTTAATTCTTTCAGTTTTTGATTATAGTTCATCAAAAGCAAATGTTGAAGTAAAATACATTTTTCATGTATTTTGATAGGATACTTTGTATATAAAGGGTCATTGCTTGTTTGTAGGAATCAGGCTTTACATCTAACCAATCATCTCCTATATAAATGTGCACATTTCCGATTCTTCTCAAGAGAAACTTATTTAAGAACAAGCTGTTTTCCTATCCTTGGTAAGCTAGCTTTGCATTAATTACCCCTCTAATAGATGCAACGAGGCGGCGAGCATTTGGACTAGTCTCTCGGGCATATCCTTCCATAAGCGCAGATGACTTTGCAGCCTTTGTTGGACTTCCTGTAGAAGAAGCAGTAAAAGGTACTGAAAATACCTGAGATGCAAATAAATGTTGCTTATACTCAGCGTTGAGCTTGTAACAATATATTTAGACACTTGGTAGTTCGGACACCCAGTTCTCTAAACGCTGCTGTATATGATTTGGTGGTGGTGGTAGCTGATTTTATGCTATAACTTTCCTCCACAGTTTATGACATCTTTAATCTTGTAGCCTAGATTGAAAAATCCCTTGTCAAATAACAGTCATGTCTTCACCATAATATTATTATGCATCTTTGAAATTGAGTGTTAAGCTTTAAATCAATACAATCTTGTTTAGCAACCACGGTTGAGAACAGCTAAGCTAAGGTTTTTAAGCGAAACAGTCACTAAGTGAAACTGCTTACAATCTTTAGCTTTCATTTGCTTTACATATCTGTGAAGATCATACATGAGAAGATTGGTCAGAGTTACTTTTTCATCTCTGTTGCAAAAGTGAACAGTATCTGAGGCAATCACTAAACTATTAGAATTGTGTTACAAGACTTTCAGTTCTTACAATTGTATATTCTGAACAAATCACAGATTTTCTAAGCACATTTTTAGAATTGCTACAATTTTGCTGATTTTTTTGGAAGATTATCAATTTATTTGGCAATGTAGAAATACTATACTGGATTGTTTCATTCCTTTGATAAAGACTAAACTGGTTTCTGTGCCTGGTATGAAATAGTTTTAAAAGCAACAGTAAGTTGTCTAAAATTTGTGCTTAGTTCACTTACTATAAGAGCCATGGTGGAGTAGTGGTTAGAATGCAGTACTGCAGGCTACTTCTGCCTGCTGTTTGGCAGTTCAAATCTCACCAGGCTCAAGGTTGACTCAGCCTTCCATCCTTCCAAGTGGGGAAAATGAGGACCAAATTGTTGGGGGCAATATGCTGACTCTGTAAACTACTTAGAGTGGGCTGTAAAGCACTATAAAGCAGTATATAAGTTTATTGCTATTGCTATATTATTATTAAAGGATAACCGGCTGAATAAAAGGAAAATGAACATTAATAGTTCACTTTATAGGAAATGGAAATATAGCAAGGAATAAAAAAACCAAGAAATAAAAACAAATCAGGAAATTAATCCCATCGAATGTTTTCCATATTGAATCATGTGTATGAAACTAATTATAGCTAATGAACTATATTACAATTTTAGGAGTTCTTGATCAGGGATGGCAAGCAGATTTGTCAACTCGAATGGTTATGCCTAAAAAGCCAGGTAGGTGGAGCTCTAGTTCCATGAGGATTTGTGGAAGGGGGAGGGAAAGGGAAGGGAGGTGACACTTCAGGATAACTTAATATTGCTTGCCTGCCTTTGCTGCACAGAATTGAAAATGCAATTAGTATTTACATGCCAGCATTCCTTTCAAATGTTTAAAATAGTATGGTGATACTCGTAAGATGTCATGTCAAGAAAATGAACTAGTGATCTATTTGAATGGGTGCAGGATGTTTTAATGAAATGGATATTTTAGAATGTAAAGTTTAAATAGAAATAAACAGGAAGTGCCTCAGCTTGCTTTCTCTGTCTGCTTCTTGGCAATAAAGACTCAGTTGAGCATATTTTTCAGTGACCTTAACTGACACGCCTGAATTGAGTGAAATGTAGTTACAATTAAATGTTACAATTTTGAATACCATTTAAGTTGTCAAATTAAGTCATTTTTGCTAGTTTAAGTTTATATTCTATATTGATAATAATAAGGGCCTGTAATGTGGTTTACTTCTTTGCTGAAAATTGTCCTTTAAACTGTCTGAGATGACTGGGCTATGTCTGCTACAACAATCATTCTGCATTTTGAATTGCATTTATTTCTAATAAAACCTTTTTTATTTTATTAGGAGTAAAATCCTAGTATTTTTATTGTATTACCTTCACTACCTCATTGCATATTTGGAGAGTTTATAAATAAATTTAAAAGAACTGCTCCCAGCATAGACTGGAACATACAGTAAATCCAACTTGCACATTTTCATAATTTATAAGTTTATTATTTTTGTTTTGCTTTCTGTACTTAGTTAACAGCTCAACTCACTTTTCTTTTATCCCATGGTTGTAGAGTTTGCTCCAGAGCTTTGGGGAGGAGTTAAGTGACTTTTTTACAAACAGGTTAATGAGAGACTAATATATTTTTCTTTATGAAATTTGGTGTTTGATGGGGGATTGAGTGGAGTAGCCCCATACAAATTGGATAGGATTTCTGAGGAAAATATTACAATTACTCAAGGCAAATTACCAAAAGTCTTTGATTTGATAGACAATTTAGGGTTGGTTGATATATGAAGGCAAAAGAATGGTAATACAAGAAAGTGCACTTATTTTTTAGAATGACACAGATCCTTTTCAAGAATAGAATGATTTGGGTTTCAATATATTTGGCTACTAAAATTTCCAAGGTAGAGATAAAGACTTTTTCCAAAGTCTTTTTGCCAAAGACTTTTTCAGAGAAAATACAAAATATTTTGGATGAGATAAAAAGAAAAGATTTAAAGAAATTCACAAGATATATATGTTTTTCTGAACAAATTAAGATCTTATAGCAACAATGTTAGCAATAACAGAAATGGAAATAAGATGGAGCTATATGAAAGAAAAATTTTTTGAATTTGCGAATAAACCAGGGAAATGATTGGCTTATAAACTTTAAAGAGAAAGAAAATGGTGCTAAAATTACAAGAAGGAGATACTGTGTTAATGGATAATATGGCTGTGCACAGATATTTTGTCAATATTTTAATTTGTATACAGAACATATTTCAGTGGAGAAAATAAAGATACATTTCAGAACGCAAAATGACTGAGCATTACAGAAGAATAAATTATGAATGGGCTTATAACAAGATAAATTTCAGAAGCTATTAAAAAAGTTAACTGGGAGAGATGCCTCACTAGTTGGGTTATTGAGTCTCTATTAGAGTGTTTTGAGGATTGAACATTTACAACCACTTCAAAGTACAGTTCTATTTTACAAGGAGGAAAGATGCCACGTACTTGGGAAGACTCCTGCTATATTAATACTTAAAGAGAGACAAGATTTGACTTTGCAAAAAACTACAGACCAATATCATTATTGGATAATGATTGCTTAGAACATTTTAAGTTGAAAAACTGAAAATAATTCTGAAAGAATTTATTCATGAGGAATATTTTGTCTGCTGGAGCTGTGGGTGTTCCATCATTGGAGGTTTTCAAGAATAAACTGGATAGCTATTGCCCAGGAGGGAATATGATATTTTGCCTTGACCAGGCGGGGTTGGACTAAAAGACCTCCAAGTTCCCTTTCAGCCTCATATTCTATGCTCTGTTGTGGGTTTTTACTTACAAGACAGCTAAATGACAGTGTTAAACACTCTGGAATATTTGGAACAATATAATGAAAAACAAACTGCATTAAACTTTTTAGAGGGAGAAAAGGCTTTGGATAGTTTGAGCTGGATTCTCTTGTTTAAAATTCTGGAATGCACAAATTTTGGAGAGAATTTAATAAAAATGGATGAAATTGATTTATACTTTGCAGATAGCGTAAATAATTGTTAATGGAGATTTAACCAAACCAGTCTAGAAATAGAAACAAGACAATGTTGCCCTCTTTTGTTTATTTTAGTTCTTTTGTTGAAATATGAAACAAAAGAACAAGTGAAAAAATACATAGTAAAATGAGCTAAATTTTTTGGCTACAATATATAAATGGATAGTAAAATGAGCTAAATTTTTTGGCTACAATATACAAATGGATCCATGGGAAAATGTATCCATGGTTGAAAATGTTGAAAGGATTGAAATTTACATTGTGTTTTAACCTTGAAAATTATTTTGATAAAAGGATGTATCATTGCTTTTTGTCACCATAGATAAACTGGAATATTTAGAATCTTTGCTAGAATTGTGAACAACATGAAGAAACTTTCTATTATGAATGATGGACATGAAAAAAGCAATAAAAATTGGATACAAATTATTTAAAGATGAATGTATAATTGAAAAAATTTGGGATTAATTTACAGAAAATATACAGTATTTATGACTGATTGGAAATTCCTTATAGACTTGCATGAGACAGGAAAAAAACTGCACTTATGACTTGATGTGTAGAAAAATACTGGGATAATAGAAAAAAAGTGAGCTTTTTTGTAATCATAGGGTAAGAGATAATTCTGCAATCATGCTTATATTTGCTATTTCTTTTTGTCTTTTTCTGTTTTCTTTAATTCTGTATCATTTTGTGTTACTTTTATGTTCTCTTTTAAACTAAAGGAGCCTTGGGTTGTGGTGGTGGTGGGGGAGTTCTGTATTATAAATTTCCAAAACCTCTAACAATGTGTTTGTTTGATAGATGGGTTTTGCTCTTTATATATTTCAGGTCCTCAGGAGCCTACATTTAATAGGTTTCATCCACTATCAGGTATGCATATCTCAGGTTTGTCTCTGTAGCTGCTCCAGCCTCCCCCTGTTTGGAAGTCCAGAGTGCCCGTATCATCTTAGACTTACAGTAGGTCATCAAGACCTGGCTTTTCCCCCAAGCACAGGGCTAAGAATGAATCAGTTCAGTAACTCATGGAATTGATGAGATGTTGGGGCACTGTAGGGCATGTATGATTTTTTTTTTTTAAAAAAAAGGTTTGTGAATACTGTTTACTGCCTGCTGTGAACCAGCTAGAATTATTTTGTGCATACGATAGGTGGCTGAATACGTTTTATAAATACATGTATTAATATTTTATATCCTTGCTGTCTAAAAATGTTCTAACATTGTATTTGTGTCTGTTTAATAAATTAACATGGCACAAGGTTATATATAGGAATTTGAAGTCTACTCAGTTTTTCCTTTATGCAGAAGTGGAAGGTTCTGAAGCTGAAATAATTATTTCCCTTGTGCTACAGAGCATATAGCCAGTGGGTGTTTTTCTTTTCCATAGCACTCACATTCCTATATTGGCATCTTAATATCTTGATGCTGCTCAGGATCTTGTATTATAAAAGTTATAAAATATCTAAGAGTGAGCATTAAGTTCTTAGTATTTGTAGGATTTGTTAATTACCCATTTACTGTGGCCATGAATGAAATTTTGATCTATCCAGATCATTCAGAAACAGCAGAAGGAGGCAAAGGATACACCTACAGCCTCCAGATGTACAGTTTGTTATCTTTCTGTAAGATGGAAATAATAATGTAGTTTCTGTTCTCATCATGTTTTCTGCTTTCTTTGTAGAACCTGCTCCAGTTCCACCAATTCCTAATGAACAACAATTGGCTCGATTAACTGACTACGTAGCTTTCCTTGAAAATTGAAAACTCATTCATGACATGCGATGTACTTTGAGATTCATTTGCATTTTGTTTATTCTGTTCGGTGTTGCAGTGTATGCATTACAGTGGAACATAATTTTACATTTAACTATATTGATTTTATTGGAGCAAGTCTTTCAATTTAATTACCATATTTAATTGGCTGAGTATGTAGACTTAAATAACTTGCTGTGGAAGAAGTAGTTCTTCTCCATTTATAATCTATCATAAATTGTAAGAAAAGTTAACCGCTACAATGGCTCAGTTGAAAACCAAACATTGAAAAGGACAGGGAAGACGAAAATGCAGTCAAGCAATGCTCTTAAAACTAAGTCTATCAGAAAACATTGCAGTGTCTTTGTTTGATTATATATTGCTATACATTTACAATGAGTTTCTGCTTTGACTTGTCACACATTGGAATATCTAATGGCAGATTTTGAAGGCTATTATATTTTGATATACTTTAAAAGATCTGTCCTTGAATATAAGCACACATTAAATCTGGAAGATACCAAAATATGTATTTGGTAAAATATATGCATGGCTAATAGTTCTTATACAACAGTTCTGTTGGCATTCTAGTTTGAGACTTTAAAAAGCATCAGCTGATTTCTCAAACTGATAGCTTGCTTCTGAATATTTAGATTGCCTTCTGGATGTTTCTTGTGCTCACAAGAAGCAACATCGGATTGCCGAAGCCAGTAGATGAAATTATCCTTGAACTTCAGTAGAACTTTTCTGTGTTAGAGTCTTGCTAATGTGGGAAGAAAGGGCACATTTTGCTTTGTCATTTTTATATGGTATGATCCTAGAGTTGTGGTTTTTTTTCTTGTTATCAGACACCATTATTTAATGGTCTGTTCAGAAATTGCTGGTATCTGTCCTTTGTAGTGAGACTTCTGTCAGTGCATTATTACTGTATGTTCGTAACTGTTTTGGATGTGTTTGAGTGCAAAATGGTCCTCCTTTCTGCACAGTTACTTTAAGAGTATCATTGATTTTGCTATTTATTTGAAAACCTCAGAGTAAATGGAAAGCTTAGTTTTGGTATTATTAAAATATATTTACATCATTCTGGTCTATTTTTAGTTATTTTTTTCTTCAAGACATACATTTAGGTTTAGCATTACTTTAGCGCTCAGACTATATATGAGTTTCTCTGCAAGTTTGCATGTGTCAAATCTATGTATATTAAAGAATACTTGGTGATACTTTAATGGTAAGATCCTAACCATATTAAATGTAAACTTGTTTAACTACAGTGTAAGTATGGGATGATAAAGAAATAAGTTACAGAAGATAGAGAACATTCATCCCTTGAAAACAAAAGGATTTTGGTGGTTTGAGTTAAATAGAATGTAGGAATCTGTGTTAATCACATGAAGCACAATAGGAGAAGCAAAAAAGCAGGCAAAATTGTAAATAATAAGAACTTGGATTTAACACCAATATTATACTGTTATTTTTACATAATAGCTTCAAGCAGGAAATGGTTATAAAACTATTTTTTGTTAGGTATGGGGGGGATGATCCTGTTTATCTTATATTGCTCGGTACAAGGAGGGTATATATTGCATGATTATATGATTTACAGTACTGTATAGTCTTAAGGGACTATAAAAAGGGACGCGGTGGCTCAGTGGCTAAGACACTGAGCTCGTTGATCAGAAAGGTTGGTGGTTCAGATCCCTAGCACTGCGTAATGGAGTGAGCTCCTGTTACTTGTCCCAGCTTCTGTCAACCTGGCAATTTGAAAGCATGTAAAAATGCAAATAGAAAATAGGGACCACTTTGGTGGGAAGGTAACAGTGTTCTGTGCACCTTCAGTGTTTAGTCATGCCGGCCATATGACAACAGAGACATCATTGGACAGCGCTGGATCTTCGGCTTTGTAACGGAGATGAGCACCGCTCCCTAGAGCTGGAAATGACCAGCACATATGTGCAAGGAGAACCTTTACTTTTATCTTATAGTCTTAATATGCATAGTGGATAAAAGTGATACAAATAACTTACAACCACAGTTGAGCCCAAAATTTGTGTTGATAAGCAAGACTTATTTAATGAGTTTTGCCCTATTGGCCACCTCAAAGAAGAACTCAACCGGAAAAGAAAGTGCCGGAGGAAGATAAGTGAAAGTTTCGGCTGACCGGGCTAAGTCGGAAAAGCAACAATTAAGGTACCCTGGAATTTAAATTTTACAAAAGATAACATCGCTCCCAAAGAAGAGTCGGAAGCAGTGAAAGAAAGTGAAAAGGGAAAGGTTTTTTTCTTCTTCTCTCTCCTTCCTTACATTGACAACTAAGAGATCTGAATAAGAAATCAGAAAAATCCGCTTTGGCATCAATAGGCAACTAAGCTGAAAATATAACTAAATGCCAAAGGGACAATAAAGATTTCTGGACATTAAAAACTTTTTCTTCTATAAGCAGGAAGGGAGAGGAAAAGAATAAGGGCAGGATCTGGAGGGAGGAGACTGCCTGGACTTCAAAAGAATCTAAAGTAAAATTTCAATAAGACTTTTAAAAGATACATTTTAACTGAAACTTTGCAACTAAATAGTAACCCCAGGAAGAGAAAGTGAAAAAAAAGAAAGTGTAAAAAAAATCAGCTTGTGTGTATTTGGATTGCTTGGTGACTTTTGGATTTTTGGTTATATTTTAATGACTAAAACCAATTGCATGGTTGTTTAAATTTTTTACAATGGCATCACTTCTGGATGAATTGAAAATGGAACTTAAAAAATATAAAGAAGATGCACAAGAAGGGAGGGGCTCTTTTGGCTTCATTTTTCAATTCTTAGAAATGGAGATCTGCAACTACGAGAAACAACAAGAAAAGACTGCAAAACAAGAAGACTGGGACAAAGAAGAAGCCATCTTTAATGAACAAGTAACTATGTGGGGAAGAAATAGGAAAGAGGGGAAAGAGAGTGGAGAATTTGAGACTTGAAAAAACAACCAAAGAAAAGAAAAATAATTTGAAAAATAAACATAATGTTGGAAGGCGACAGAAAAGGGGAATGCAGAGGAGGGACGTAGAGGTGGAGAGACGGGTGGGGTAAAGATGGGAGAGAGAGGAAGAGAGGGAGGAAGGAAAGGAAAAGTTACAGAGGTTTGGAGCAAGATATAAAGAAACAGGACCTATTTAGAGATAATGTGTGAAAATCTAACAAAAGGGATTCTGTAAAGGTACATAAGATTGTATTGTTATATTTGTAATAGAAATAACCTTAGAAAATTGGAAACAACTTATGATTAAAAAGAGGGATAAAATAGTGTAATTTAGTGAAATGTTTGTGAATAAAATAAAGGAATTAAATGAGAAAATTGAATTAGGAAGGAATGGGAACATTTTAATCAATCAATGTTTTATAAAATATAAGTGAAGAGGGGGGGAATTAACCATGGAAAGTTTATAATTGTTCCCATAGAAGGATGATATTTATTTGAAAAATAACGTGTAAAATGTTAAGATTTAAATGAATTTTAATATTAATGATAGAATTGAATTGGAATGGATTGTTGTTTTAATTATATTATACATTTATAACTTTTTCTTCTGTCAAGAATACAGTGTGTAGTTTTAGAATGTACCAAGCAGAATCCGAATGGAAGTTATGTATTATATTAAGTGTTTTTAATTTTAGGGGAAAGATATAAAGGCGTCATACTCCGATCAGTAACTACAGGAGAAATTTTGTTTAATGAGAAAAGATAATAGACAATTGAAACAGGACAGACAAAAAATATAAGTATAATGATTAGAATTGAGATGAAATAAATAAAATTAAGAAAATTAAAAGAGGGGAGAAGCTATGTAGAAAATGTAAAATAGTAATAAGATATGGAATAGAATATAAAAATGAGCATGAACCTGAATTTGTGTCTGTACGAAGAAATGTAACCCGAGATTATGCTGCTTTCAAAAAAGATGTTTTACTTGTATTTCTTTTCTTTTTGTGAAAACTCAAATAAAACTTACAAAAAAAAATCATAAAAGTGAAAAATGATCATAAGTCATAAGTCTTTCTTTTCTTTCTGTTTTGACTTTGAAAACTCATTAAATGAACAGTTGTGAGTCAAAGACTATCTGTATAGGTGGAATGGAAAGCATTATATATATGATTTCTATATAACGTCTCCCAGATAACTGTAGACATAAATTCTCTTTAACAGTTAATATAGTTTCTCTTACATCTGTCATTTATTAGACTAAGAGACTCTTTGGGGCTGTTCTTTGTAAATTACGTCTGTACTCTTCTCTAATAAAATAAGACAGTTATCTAGAGAGGAAAGGGCTATTTAATCACTGAGCTTGTAGCATAGTATGACCAATTCACTCATAAGTTACTTTTGTTCATTTCAAACCACATTATATGCAATGTTATGTTATGAAATGTCTTTATTTGAATAGTTCATGCTTACTACATAAATGTAGAATCCTTTGGCATTGTATCATGGATGCCTAAAAAATCCTGATGCAAATTCCAAACATATACTATTGGAATTAGAATGCTACATAAAACACAATTAAAATGCAGCAGGTTCCAGTGGGGAGCAAAGACTAAAGTTGAAAATTAAGGTTTGTGAGACATACCAGAGACAACAAAATATATCTTTGGATATATTAGAAATAAAAAGAAAGCCAAAGTTTAAGTCAGTGATGAAAGAGGTGGTGAAGTGACCATAGATAATGATTTTGTATCTATTCTGTGAAGGCCAATCAATTTAGCTGGGCATTGTTATAGAAGAATGAGGAAGCTGCTGTTTAGGGAAGGCAAGGATGTGATAAGACAAAACTTAAATTGTATTAAAGTCAAGTTTCTCTGACCAAAGGGATTATATTCTACAGTATTTAGTAATTAGCAGAGATTATTGCAGAACTGAAGTAATTAACAGATTATTGCAGTAATCTTTGAGTCCCAGGATATTGGGTGAGATCAGATTAATTTCCATCCACAGAAAAGGGAAGGAAGAAGACCAAGGAAATTACAAACCGGCTAGCTTGCTCTTTTTATGGGCAAAATCTTCAAATACAGACAGGCTACAGTTAACAGGAGCCAAAGTCAGTTTGTCACAAACAAATCATGCCAAACTAACTGAGTCCTCCACTGATAAAGTTACTAATTGCTTACTAGATCTATGAAATGTCATGGGCTGCCTGGAGTTCAGCACACTGATGAAGTGTCTCCTGATAGTCAAAAAGTTTGAACTTGATCCAAACCTGGTAAGTGCGACTGAAAAAGAATATGTAAAAAAAATATATGCAGGTTTGAGCAGTGGGCTGAAACAAAGAGGATGGAATTTACTAGAAATCAACTGCATTTTGTGTGTGGTACTAAGTTGTGAGCTCTATAGTTTGAAAAGACAATGAAAAAATTAAATGAGTCCAGAGAACTGCCAGAGAATAAAGTAGATTATTAAAGGCCTGGAGATTAAAACATGAACGGTTGCAGGAACTGGGTATGGCTAGTCTAGAGAAAGAAGGACTAGAGATGACAGCAGTCTTTCAGTATTGGGAGGGCTACCACAAAGAAGAGGGGGTCAACTTATTTTTCAAAGCAACAGAAGGCGAGACAAGAAACTGGATGGAAACTAATCAAGGGGAGAAGCAACCTGGAATGAAGGAGAAACTTCTTAACAGAACAGTTACCCAATGGAACAGCCTTGCCTTCAGAAGTTGTGGGTGCTTCATCACTGGAGGTTTTTTTAAAATAAGACTGGACAGCCACTCGTCTGAAATGACATAGGGTCTTCTGCTTAAGCAGGGGATTGCACTACTAGAAGATCTCCAAGATCCCTTTCATCTCGATTCTGATTAATAGCCAGTCCACCCATATTGTAAGTCATGCTTGGGTAATTTCAGATGGCAGATAAGTTGGGTGGTACATGGACATCCTCACACAATCTCTCTGACTCAGGATAGCTCTTCTAGAGATATTCTAAGCATTTTTCTCTGGATCAAGACTGAAATCCTGAGATCCACATCCAACAGAACCAAGAGGAATCGGTGGCAAATGCAAGGGACAGGTTGCTTCCTCTTGAACAAGGAATGATTGATGAAATACTGGATTACTTCATATTTCATACTTCATGGAAGAAGGTAACTGCAGCCAGCACGTCACTGGGCTAACATAATATGTAATGGAAATGCCCAATAAACATTAAGTCCAGCTTAAGTAGGTGAGAAGAAGGTGAAAATGCAGTGGGAAGCCATATCAAACATGGCACCACAATCTTGCTGTTATTTTGCCCCTCCATACTTGTGCCAAATCTTAACTGTCCCTTTAAAACAAGGGTCTTCCAACTTGACAGTTTTAAGACTTGTGGACTTAAACTTCCAGGATTCCTGAGCTAACATCACTAAAGGGGGAATTCTGAGAGTTGAAGTCCACAAGTCTTAAAGCTGTCAAGTTTGAAGGCCCCTACTTTAAAACAAGGTAACCAGCCTGTCTCCCAGGGGAAATCTGAGGCCTGATCAGTAATGGAGGCAGGAGCTCTGAAAGGCAAGATGTTGGACAGAGAATTTTAAGCAGCTTTGAAAGGCAAATGTTCCAATGAAAGAATGCAGCAAGTTACAAATTCTAGAAGAGACAATATGTCTAATTGTCTCGCTGATAAGAAACATAGCAGCACAAATAGAGTTCAAACTGCCCAAGGAGCTGCTGATACAGTTCTACAGAGGAATTATTGAGTCTATCATCTGCACCTCTATAACTGTCTGGTTTGGTTCTGCAACCCAACAGGACAGACACAGACTCCGGAGGATAATTAGGACTGCAGAAAAAACAATTACTACCAACCTGCCTTCCATTGAGGACCTGTATACTGCACGAGTCAAAAAGACGGCTGGGAAAATATTTACAGACCCCCCACATCCCGGACATAAACTGATTCAACTCCTTCCCTCAAAACGACGCTATAGAGCACTGCACACCAGAACAACTAGACACAAGAACAGTTTTTTCCCTGAACGCCATCACTCTGCTAGACAAATAATTCCCTCAACGCTGTCCAACTCTTTACAAAGTCTGCACTCTTATTACTATTAATCTTCTCATCACTCCTTATCACCCATCCTCTCCCACTTGTGACTGTACGACTGTAAATTTGTCGCTTGTATCCTTATGATTTATATTGACTGTTTCCTAGTATGATTTGATTGCTTATTGTACCCTATGACTATTAAGTGTTGTACCTTATGATTCTTGATGACTGTATCTTTTCTTTTATGTATATGAGAGCATTTGCACCAAGACAAATTCCTTGTGTGTCCAATCACACTTGGCCAATAAAAGAATTCTAATTCTAATTTAATTTAAATTCTAATAATGCATTTGTCTTATCTGATTATTCACTAGATTGCAGAGGATGACAAATGTCCAGTAAATAGAAAAGCGCTTTCAAAACATAGATGTAAATTGAGAGCCATAGTCTGAGATCATAGGCTTGACTAAATCTCTGTAACCCAGTGTGGTATAAAAGTGTGTAATCAACTGAACTGAGAGTAGTCCTTTGGAAGAAATAAAATGAGTCATCTTGAAAAGCAAATCCACTACTACCAGTACCAAAATGCTTGTGAAGCTTTTTTCCAGCTGAAAGAATATTAATAAAAACTAGAGAATCATGTCTCACCTTCTACAAGGGAATGGAGAGAGCTGGAGCTAATATGCCTTAGTCATGACACTCTTCAGTTGATGTTTAATTGTTACTATTCCTCTCCCTCCCTCCCTGAGAGTTAGTTCTTTCTTTCTTTCTTTCTTTCTTTCTTTCTTTCTTTCTTTCTTTCTTTCTTTCTTTCTTTCTTTCTTCTTTCTTTCTTTCTTTCTTTCTTTCTTTCTTTCTTTCTTCTTTCTTTCTTTCTTTTTTGCTTTCATAAATGCTTAAATTAAGCTTAAATTTAAGCTTATAAGATAAGTCAGTTTATTACAGTCTTAGATATATACATTCTTTTCCAAAGTCCATAAAGTTTAATTAATGTATCAAAAATTGATAACTTACATTATCAAAAGCCTTCTGGGAATCTAAGAAAATTATTGCCATTAATTAATTTATCATAAATTGATAATTTACATTATCAAAAGCCTTCTGAGAATCTAGGAAGATTAGTGTCATTTGTTTTCCTGGATGTGTTTCAAAGTATTCTAATGTATCTACAATAATAATAATAATTATTATTATTAATAATTATTATTTCAGCTTAATGTGTTTGAAAAGCATTTATAGAATTCTTCTGGTAGCCCATATAGGCCTGGAGTTTTACCATTTTTCTGTATTTTTATCACTTCTGTTAGCTCCATATTGTTACTTTTCCATTTAATATAGTTTCAAAATTTTCTGGGACTTTGGGTAAATTGGCTTCTTCCATATATTGTATTATTTTTTTCCATAGACTTTTTTTCCTGTATCATATAGTTTTTCATAATATTCTTTAACTATTTTTTATTGACTCATTTTAGAATTGTATGTGTCCCCAACCTTCTTTCCCTTCACCCTCCTACTATGCAAGCATCCCCTACTAACTCATTTTTAAAAATTGGCCATTCAACTTCTGTTTAAATACATCCCTTGAAAGAGAGTCTAGTCAGTGATGGGATTCAAATTTTTTTACTACTAGTTTTGTGGGTGTGGCTTGGTGAGCGTGGAAGGGGAAGGATACTGTAAAATCTCTGGTCAGAGGTGGTATTTGCCGGTTCTCCGAACTACTCAAAATTTCCGCTACCAGTTCTCCAGAACCGGTCAGAACCTGCTGAATACCACCTCTGAATCTAGTCCTATAAGTACCCATTTCTGTGTAGCTGTAGTTGTTTCGATGCTTGTAGTTTAGGCTGGCATCAACGCTAATCATCTCGTGCAACATGCCCCCACAAGTCCTTTCTGAAACTAGTTTATGAAAGCCATCTTATTCCAAATCAAATATTGCACTGGTAAGCAAAACTCATGAACACATGCCATCACAAACTCTGGCTTTGCTTAAGAGTTCAGATCTGTTTATGTCTCCATTGCTTGAGATCTTCAAACACTAACCACATTTCTCTCATGAAGCCTGGGAAGTTGACCAACAGTGGAATTTGCTCCAACAAGTACAGAGTAATGATTTTGTGGCTGAATCTATCATCAAATCAACCATAGGTCCCAAACATGCCTAGTTGATGACTGTATAAACAAATCACACTATTCCAGGAAAGCAGGAAGCTGTATTGAATTCCCACTGAATTTGGGGGAATTGGTATGTCAATTCACCATAGTGGGAGATGATTGGACAGTAAATTGATTTATTTTTGCTTGCAAAGTATAGCATTCATGGCAACTAGTTGATTTGTAAGGGCCTGGTGTTCTTACATTAACTGCTGCATTTTGCCAATTGATATAAGACTGAAAATAAACTGACTTGGCCCTCCTGAAATCACACATCATAAAACCGCTAATGAAGAACCAGCAGTTTAAATATTTCAGAGAGAGGTTCTCCAGAATGTACATAGCAGTCAACAGTGTAATTAAAATCATCATGCATTTGGTCCATTTTCTGAAGCCCAAAGACCTCTGAGGACAGGAGTATGCTTCAATAGACTGTTTCCAGCAAAGCTTGACTACCCTAACCCTAACCCTTAAATGCTCACAGTTTGGAAAATCACACTCTTCTAAAAGATGAGAATGGCAGTTACTTCCGGAACAATGTGGGGTGGCCTCTGCAGGGAGGCACACATTGCATTGGCTGATTATCTTTCCAAAAAGTGATCTTTGGAAACTGTCTTTTTTTTTTTTTAAAGGAGCAGGTTATGCACTTCACAGCCATTCTATACAAAGGCCACCATGTCATCTGGAGCAGGGTGTAGCTGGAATTCTTGAAACATGAGAATTGTGGCTGCTTCCAAAATGGAATCTGCTTCTGGGATGACACCAGGTGGCTTCTGTATAGAAAGACCGTATGGTTCATCATGTGCTTCTCTTTCTGGAAGGTATTTTTTAGAACAGGGGTCTCCAACCTTGTCCACTTTAAGACTTGTGGACTTCAACTCCCAGGAACAGCCTTTAACTGTAGAAAATTCAGTCCCAAAACAAGGTACATACAGACTGTAACTAAAAATCCAAACAAACAAAGCTGCAGTAATTAACTTGACAGGGCAAGAGAAAGACTTTTAGACTTGAAAGCATGGCAACACTCACAGTTGGGAAGATGCCAGGAACACAGATAAGCCAAGACAATAACAGATAAATTCACAATTTGCTCCCAACAACTTGCTGCATGCAGCTTCCTTTTTTAAACACTGTGTTCCCAGTTGCAGCTAATGAAGGGAATCGGGGCCCTTTCCTCCCCCATAAGCCATGCAACTCACATTGCTCCCTTCTCCGTTCCTCCCTGCGTGTCCTAGGATGAAGAGGGAGTCTTCCTCTGAATTCCCTCTCCATTGCTCTACCTCTCCCATGCTCTGCCCAGCCAGACTGTGCCCTTCCCCAGTTTCTTCCAAAACCAACGGAGCCACACTCCCACTCCCTATCAGCTGTTCAGCCTCCCCCTCTGAATCAGATTTTGACAGGGGCATGACACTACCGTAAACAATGCTAGCAACTTATCACCCATCTGGAAACAATCCAGAACCAATGCTAGCAACTTATCACCCATCTGGAAGCAATGTTGACTTGGAAATTCTGATAAGTTTATTCAGCTCTGATCAGAAGAGAAACAAAGCAGCTTGCTCTGGATACAATTTTTTAAAAAGCTATTATTTTAAAATTGGAGATAGGGGAGTAAAGTAATAACTAGCAGTCAGCATGGGTTTTTAAAAAATAGATCATGCCAAACCAATCTTATTTCATTCTTCAACATAGTAACCAAATTAGCAGACCAGCAAAATACTGTGGACATAATATACTTAGGCTTCAGCAAGACATTCAACAAATTAGACCAGCAGTTGCCAAACGGTGGACCGCAGCCCACTGGTGGTCCATGAGAAAATTTTGATGGTTCACAGAGAAATGTCACCCCCAGAGTAATTAATCTAGGCTGCGCAGGAACACAAGGCTGTGCTGCCCACATGGCCCTCCCTCCCCGCCCACTCACTCCTTACCTGGCAAACTTGCCTGCTAAGTTGCTATTCCCCCCCCCGATCATCAGCTGTTTTGCTGTTCCGGGATATGTAGATTAGCTAGAAAGCAGGAAATCATTGGATTTCTCACTTTCTAGCTAATCTTTAGATCTTCGGCTCTTTTAAGCAGAGCCAAACCTTCCTTAGGATTGAAGAAGTGAAGACTCAGCTCGCCGATGGCAGAAACACAGATCTCTAAGTGAATCTGTGATTCTGTGAGCAACTCAATCTGCCTGCATGCTCTGCCTGATTTTGGATAAAAGTTGCTCTTCTTTTATAAAAAAGTTCAATATTTACATACATGGTGTGTTGTGAGTTAATTTTGTGAGATTTCTTGCTAGCAAATTTTATGGGTTTGCTTGCAAGCAAATTTTATGTGACAGGCTCCAGTAGCTGATCTCGCACGAATGAATCTGTGATTCTGTGAGCAAATCAATCTGCCTGCCTGCTTTGCCTGATTTTGTGTAAAAGTTCCTCTTTTTTTATAAAAAAAATCAATATTTATATAAATATTTATAATATTTACATACAAGCCATGCCCACCCAGTTACATGACCACCAAGCCACACCCACAAATTAGGCCACACCCACAGAACCGGTTGTTAAGAAATTTGAATCTCATCCCTGCCTGTGTGTTTATGTATGTCTGTGAGAGAGTGGGGAGGGGAAGGTTATATCAGATCTCTCTCTCTCTCTCCCACCAATGTCAGCAAGCCACCATCAGTCAAAATTCATATTAGTAGTCCCTGGGATTTAAAATTATGAGTTTGCTGGCCCCTGAGGTCCAAAAGGTTGGTGACCCCTGAAGTAGACCACAACCTACTTCTTGGTAAGCCAGAAAAAAGTGGGTTAGATAGCATCACCACCAGATGGATTCATAACTGGCTGACAAATCATACTCAAAGAGTAGTCCTTAACGGTTTTGGATAGATTCAGAAAATCATCTATTCCCTTCAGGGTGGAAAGGTGGTTTGCTGTAACCACTGATATTTTAAAGAGTTTTCCACAGATTTGCTGGTTCATTTTATTGATAGTTGATTCCTCAGCTTTTCGGAGTAACTTCTTTTTGCTGCTCTGATCTCCCTTGTTAATATATGTCTGGCCTGATTGTTCAGCATTCTATCTTCTTTCCTGTAGGATTCTTCTTTAACACAACGTAGCTGTTTGAGTTTAGCTGTGAACCAATGCTAAAGAAGGCTACCAAGCAATCTCTTGTTCAGTTATGCTGTTAAAAATATTTTTTTTCCAAAATGGTCACTTTGAGTTGCAATAAAGTATTTTGGGGATTAAATGCTCTGATATTACTTTGTCTTTGTTTTGAATTCTGATGTCAAATTTGTATCCATTAATTTTTTTGATCAAAATTTGTTCTGTTATCTAAGATAGAATCTAAGAGGGCCCTGATCTATCTATCTATCTATCTATCTATCTATCTATCTATCTATCTATCTATC